TCTATATAGTGAAATATAATTGAATCATATCTAATAGCCCCCTCTATATGGTGAAATATAATTGAATCATATCTAATAGCCCCCTCTATATAGTGAAATATAATTGAATCATATCTGACACAATTGATCAATTAATTATTTAATTAATGCAAAGTCATTAATTTGACAATTAAAAACATTCGCTTACCCTTTTACAAGAGTCCATAAACTCATCTATTGTTATAACACCATCTTTGTTAAGATCCATTTTCTGATTATCAAAAAGAAGAAGGTACATTTTGAAAAATTCAGCTCTGAAATCCAGAATAATCTGACAATTCTACTGTACTGCAACACATGATGTAGTAGATAATTTGCAAAAACTGTAATAGACGGCCAGTTACCCTGACCCTTTAACACTGCATAGCAGGACTTAGATGACTTACTTGAAAAACTTTCTCAGCATGTTCTTTCGGTGTCAGCTCTTCTCCCTTCGCTTCAGCATACTTTCCCATCATTTCATAAATTGCATGTACTATATCACACATTTCCTGTGAACAGTTGGAATCCAGTTTTCATTAGAGAATTGTTGAATGGACACAAAGATACCACACTGGGATGATGAGTTTCATTCATCATTAGGATCACACGTGGCGTAGCGCCAATAAAGATTTCTATATTTGATAATATGTGAAAGTAACTGGGCAATAAAAGCCTATTTTTCAGATAACGTGAGTTAATACTTCCGGCAAATACTTCTATATAGGGTACACCATGCAATGACATATTTGTTTTGTTTTCAATTGAGAGAAAAAATGAAAATGTAGGTGATCCCTAAAATTCCACTGTATGTCTACGTGTATACATATTTTTTTGTTTTTTACTGAATAATGGCAAAAAAACTTGAATTCATAGCAGGTGGTCATTAGACTGGATACATCGCTGAACATATAAATTATAACAACGTCCAGACAACTATTCTTCCAATTCTTCTATTCCACAGTTTCACTAATAAATTTTTTGTTCGACGTTGACTTCCCTGAACTTTTTTGATTGATAACAATTTGGATGAGTTGCAGTGGTATATATATGCATTTAATTTATGTATAAACAACATTTTTGAATTACATGCACATACTTCGCTATGCATAGTATGTTTTGTATATTTGTATTTCCTAAAAACAGGAAATTTAATGATGTTATCCTAAGATGTACTTAAGGCATAAACATATCAAGTATCAATTTAATCAGGTCTATAGTTTCAAAGAAAAAGTTGAAAATAGCATTTTTTTTACCAAAACTTGACAAAACAAGTAACTGTAGTCAACATATTTCTAGAAATATAAAAAGTTTGAATATGAACAATCAAAGAATTTTAGAGATATGGCTCCAAAACTGCATTTACCGATACTAAAATAAAATGGCCACCAGTGGGCGGTTATTAGCCTGATCCGACAACAATTTTAAACATTAAACATACACAGAAGTCAAAACATAAGTCTCCATTATTACTGCATTTATTACTGTCTCACTGTGACGTTTTTGGCACTATTTTATTGAATGCGTTAGAATACATACATTTGTAATAGTGTTATATATCACCTGATCACCTGAGTGTATTGATATGTAAAAAGAAGTGCCAACTGAAAATGGTGGAATAAACAAAAGTTAAATGTGAAAACTCTCTCTGGTTTCTTTGATGTTTCGTGTATTCCTGAGTCAACACATCATAGTCACTTAAACTATAGAACTGGTGATATTATCAGAAAATGAACAAATCTGATAGAATTCACCTCAAAGCACCTGAATATAAAAGCAATTTAAATAATCGTTTCCAAGAAGTGTCATTTATGTAAAGTTAAGTGGGGAGAGTGAAGCAAATAAATTCAATATAACTTGAATGCTATGTATACAACTTGTGTAAACTACATTGTTTTTTTTTTCAAATGAAATTCAACAAAGTAGTAGTGAAATGTGATTACTGTTTACTGATTCATCACATATGTCTTACCTCGCGTGTGATGTGTCCATCTTGATTTATATCGTACAGCTTAAATGCCCAGTCTAACTTCTCATGTAATGTTCCTCTAGATAAAATTGATAAACCAAACACGAATTCCTGCTCAAAAAATAAAAAGAGTCGATATTGTGTTAGTTACGCAATAATATAATTACATCAATATGACTGGCAAATGTTTGAGAATTGTCACCGATATATTCACAATGCACCAAGTAATATATAGTACATCGCACAATTTGGCATCTTGCTAGATGGATATAACTGTGGAAATAAGATTTTTTGGGGGGAATTTGAAAATATTAAAGAGCTTAAACAAGCAATGTAGTTTTCATACAAATGAAACTTAAATTGGATGTTAAAGGATACGTAATGTGTTCGACTGAGATTGAATGATTGTCACGATATCAATATTTTTCAATTTTCGAACCCTCAATTTAGAGAGCATTTTGAATGCACCTCGGATAATCATTGTGGCATGTTGTATTTTAAATTATCTGCAGCACTTTTTGTTTTGTCATCTGAAGTTCAATGGAATAAACACCTAATACACAACATTTCACGGAATTCAAGCAATTTTCATTTTGACGAATAAGAGATCTACTTGTTTGCATATTTACATACGTGCATTAACTGGTTGGCAAGTAACATCAGGCAGTTCGCACATAATAAAATAATGAAATTGTTTGCCACCATTTTTAAATATACTATATGTACATGCAGATATCCTCGTTTAGTAATAAAACGTACATGTGCGTTACATGTTCTGTCAAATATGTACGGTCAGTAAAATGTGAACCTCATCGTGCAGCAGCTTAAACACTTGATAGATAGATGTCTACCCACGATGCAACACAACAGTTCACCATATAATATACTTCATAAGAATTCTGTTTACTAATATTGTCATTAATAGGTCAGCTCAAACTGACAGGTAAAGGTATAAGTGATAAGTGATAGAATAGATGAAAATACATACCTCAAAACTAATGCTCCCATTTTTGTCGGTATCAAATGTATTGAACACATAATGTGCATATAGACTCGCATCTGGGGAAAGAAAACCTAAAATTGTATAACTTGCATGAAAGCTGCTTTGGTAACCACATCACAGTCCTGGTAATCCTATCACAACCCTGCTAACCTCATCACAGCCCTGTTAATTCTATCACAACCCGGTTAACCCTATCACAGCCTTATTAACCTTATCACAACCCTGTTAACCCTATCACAGCCCTATTTACCCAATCACAGTCCTGTTTACCCTATCACAGCCCTGTTAAGCCAATCACAGCCCTGTTAACCCTATCACAGCTCTGTTAACCCTATCACAGCCCTGTTAACCCTATCACAGCCTCGTTCAGCCTATATCAGACATGTTAACCCAATCACAGCTCTGTTAACCCTAACACAGCCTTATTAACCCTATCACAACCCTGTTAACCCTATCACAGTCCTGTTAACCCTATCACAGCTCTGTTAACCCAATCACAGCTCTGTTAACTCTAGCACAGCCCTGTTAACCCAATCACAGCCCTGTTAACCCAATCACAGCCCTGTTAACCTTATCACAGTCCTGTTAACCCAATCACAGCCCTGTTAACCCTATCAGAAACACATTTTTGGGGGAAATTTTCTTTAAATTCTTTCAAAAATTTCAAACAGAGCCATAAAGGATTTTTGTTTTGACAGGTGTTTTGATCAATCAATGTATTTTATAGAACAAGATTTTTTTTTTATTTGCAAAAATGGAAGCCATAGGCCAAGACCTGTGCATTATGACTGCCTTTAATCAGATAACAAGTATCTATGGCGACGCAATGACGCAATGCTTAGGAAAAGATCCATATATAGAACCAGGCATGATCACATATAGTCTGCCATTATATTATTCATCATTTAAAAAAAATACAGAAATATAATTTTCATATTCAAGTATTTAATGGACTTTTCCAATATATCACATTGTCTAGTGATCACCGTTGTCATTCTGACATGACATAGGTGCACGGTGCATGGAAGAGACAATGTTGTGCATAGCAATATATTTTGCAGTCATTCATATAATAACAATAAATGCATTTATGAAGAATGTAATTTTATTTTAATTGATTGACAACAACTAACATATTATCCAAACAATAGCAATACTGTGTGCGAGACTTTGAAATTTGGAATAAAAAAAACCAAGTATTTACAGAGACACGCCAACAGATTTTACCTTTCAGGTTTAGACAGTAGAGCCGATATAATAGCGATCTAACTTATATTGGCTATGATTTAGTTTATTAGGGCTGAATGTACCATATTCGTCATATACATTGCACGTAACCATGGAAACAATGTAGTTTCCTTAGAGAGAGGTAGCAGAATATAAATAACCATGCACTTGTAGAGTGAACTGAAGCATCGCCTTGGCAACAGAGACACAGAAAGACATTACTATGGCAATATATGTATACCCTTAAGTAGTCACACGTACCACTTGGAAAGTTCTTATCCAGAAATTTAGTTTTCAGGTAAATTTCTGCATGCGAAGGTAATTTAATACTACTTGATAAGAATTATGCTAGAGTGTGAGATCAAACATTTCCAACGACGAACACGTAAGCAGTATTTTAACACTACCAAGATGAGGATATGACAGCCGTCAATTACCATGGAAACTACAATAAACAATCATTGAATAAAACAGCAACAGAGGAAAGGCGCCAAATACATAAATGAGATGAGGCAGATCGGTGTTAAAATTGGCGGCATTTTAATATGCTTCAGTGCATCTGCAATCATCTTCAGAACACTTCGAAACTAGAGGTAATCAAGCCGTCAAAAATCATTATCGGAATGTACGATATAAAATATAATCCACACATCTCATTCTTAATACACTTCAGTTATTTTAGGACCAAAACGATAAAAAGTTGAGCAAAGTGCCAAAACAAATTGACATGAGTACATATTTTTCAACTAAAGTGTATTTTCGCTCTTGACTCAGTCGGCACTGAGTGATCGGTTGCAGCTCGATGGAAACGTGCTAGCACCAATCAAGAATGGCATCGGCTTCTTGAAAATAAGGTATATGCCTTGCAACAAAAGAAATAACTTTTACATAAAAAAAAATTAATATATAATATTTGCAGAGGTGAATTGTAAAGCCTGTATTTTTTTTATTGAGATTGAGACATCATTTACAGCTGTATGAACATGTAGCTATAGCCGTATAAAGTTCGCAGCGTAAAGTGCTTGTGCTGTTTGTACTCCTATTTTTGTCACTACTGAGTGGGCGTAGCCGACCACGGAAATCTCCCTTATATGCTTGGCAGACAATGTGAGCTATATACCACACATTAGGTGTACTGTTACATAAAGTGTAGTAAAAGCTAAAGTTAGAAAGACCAATTCATAGTGGACTCAAGCAATGTGTGCCTTAAATCCAACCAAGATAAAGTTTCAGATGAGCTGCTAATAAATACAGAGATTTAGTGCAGTTATAGTAAATTTCTTACAACCATACCTCCTACTA